GTGGCTGCCGCTGCGGCGGCGTGAACTGTGGCCGAGAGGGACAAGAGGGAGGTAGAGAGAGGAGGCACGCAGGGAGCAATGCTGCCAGCAGAGGGGACTCGGAGTGCGGCGTCGGTGTGGGCAAAAGTGGCCGTGAGCAGGGCAGAGCCGTGGGGGGGCACGTCCGAGGAGAGTCTGCACGGGGCGGCGTCAGAGGCGTGGAGTCCGTTGGGCTGCAGCAGAGCCGCAGGGAGCTGGTGGAAGGCGGCTGCCCAGTGGTGAGGGTGCAAGGGGTGGTGGTGGTGGGCCATGGAGGAGGTCATGGCGGCGGCTTCCCTCTGAGAGGCACAGGTGCTCAGATGGGACACGAGTCGAACGCGCAGTGGGTCGGATGTGTCAAGGCCTTCCACTGAGCTCAGGTACCTCGCGACTTCTGTCAAGCACTCCCGGAAGCCAATGCTCATGAAATCCATGGCCAGGGAATGAGCGTCAAAATAACCTGCGAGGGGAGGAGGGCAAAAGACACATTGAGTGCTGAGGCAGCTTCCCCACCAACGTTGAGTGACATGGCTAACCCGGCCCTTGTGCAGCTGCCAGGTCTCCCACTTATGGGTTAAGATTTGCAACACAACAAGTTTGTTCTCTGATCTGTAAATGATTTGTGTGGCCATCCCTGTAATGCAATAGGCTGCAGTTGTTTCTGCAGACAATATACAAACTAAAAGAATTAAGTCCATGAGTACTCATGATACTTAAAAAGATACATGATGCCTCTCCTGAAATTCCTCAGCAAGCTGCTGCAGTGCTGTATTGATTCTGCACATGCGTGTGAAAGAAACGTTTATTCACACAAAGAAACAGGCTGAGGATCAGAGGCCTTGCATGTACTACCCTGCCTTTTCTTCCCTATGCTGGCATTCACTGAAATGCTCTCGAACTATTTCTCGACATGGCGAGATAGTTGTTGTAACTGCTGCTGGGGTCCCATCTACTTCACAGACTCATTAAGGCAATACGACATACGGTGTTACTTAACTGCAAACTAAAAACATCTTGTCATGACTCTGCACACACACAATAAAAAGCTTTACTGAGAAAACGTTTTATGTAATGCCATTGCTAATTTGGAGATGGAAGACTGACAGTCATATGGCCCATGAGGTATTTCAACAAACAGCAACTGGAGCTCCACAGGCTTGGGACGAGAAAGCTTTAGGAAAAAAAAAAAAGCCTTATTAAATGCACATGAAAAGATATTCCCTTTCTAAAAGGATCTAGCATCAAATCTAGTCTTCAAGCTGCAGCTCTTCGACCACGAAAACCTATTCCAGTTTTTGGAATTTTTCTACTTCAGTTTAAAAGTACTCTCCTTGGGGGAGTAATGTCCTATCCATTCCCAAGCTGGCATGGGGTTTTGTCCCCTCTTTCTTTCAGTGAAAAATTTTAGGTATGCGTGACTATGATGTGTGTTAGTATGTGAAGACTGAGTGCCCTTACTATGGAGTAACGCGGCAGCAAGACCTGCATTAGGCCTTGTACTCCCTGGCGTGAATCATCTCTCTTCCTGAAAAACCCTATCACCCTAGATGGCTTTTTTTCCACTGGTATCAACTTTCAAGCTAGAAAGGAGCATTTCCGTCACTGCACGCCTGCATTATAGAATTAACCTGGGCACATTTATAGATGTCACCGCAAATTCCCTGCTCACTATACACCCCTTCTTCCCAAATTATGGTGGCACTTTTGCTGCAGTCCACCTTGCTCATCTGAGGCTGTACAAAACCCAGGAGAACCACAGGCTTGGCCATCGGATTGGTGATCAGTGAGTATGAGGGGCTGAGGTCTTGTGTTAGCAACCACTGATTCCTCCCAGCTTTTTTCCTGCTAGGCCCACTGTGACCAAGGGATCTGTGGCAACACCATGGTTGAATGAACTCCTGAGAAACAAACGTCAGGCAGGGCAGCGGTGGCGAGCTAGCAGGGTACCTGCTCGGGTGCCAGCCAGCCTGGCATGGGGACTGACTCCGTGCCGGAGGCTCCAGGACCTCCGGCAGCTTCAGAGGGGCTGACATGCAAGCTCTGGCCACAAGTCAGCCAGCCTGGGAATCCTGAAAGCCGTGGCCCAAGCCAGGGCTTCCCAGCCTTCCTCCCTCTGGACCAGAGGAGATGTGGGGGATGTGGTTGCCACCAGCTTCTCTGGAGTCTGAGCTGCTGGCTCTGTGACGAGCTGTCCCAAAGCCCTGGTGTGATCCTGGCTCCCTCTCAATCTCCTGTGGTGGCCGAGACATGAAAACAGAGGGGAGATGTGAGCTGGGACTCCCAGGCTCCATTATGTTTTGATTTTGATGGTTATCTTTTCCAGGTTTCCCCTTTGCTGGCTTCCCTCTTCTCAGAAGGACTGAAAACTGTTTTTTCTTGCTTCTTTCCAAAACCCAAGAACATTCTCCACCACCACCCACAACGTGTACATGCCAGCATTTTGTAGTGAACAGGACGCATCAGTTTTACTTGGGCTATCCTGGTAACCCAACTGCTCTGCATGCAGGACACGGGCTGAGTTGTTCCAGCTATATTAACCCATGTTGCTGACCCAGGTGTCAGTCACCCAAGCTAAATTTGCAGTGAAGCTGCAATAAAACCACACCAAGGTCCCAGCAAGCAACTCACTGTTGACAAACTACTCCTCCCCTGCGCTTGCTTGCAGGGTCAGCAAAAAGCCCTGGCCCCAGGCCAAAACGTAACTCAACGCGAGCAGGAGACCATTGCCCACACCTGCATGAGGGCCGCAGAAACACGGATCCACGCAGGACCTCAGAGGCAGCAGCATGCCTGCCTGGAGAGCTCTGCAAAGCAGGGCAGGGACAGGAGCCACGATGGGTTTTCTTCTGCCAAGCCCACCTCAGGCTCAGCGTGCTGAACAGTGGCTGACTCCACCCCAACTTGCCTAGCCCCGGGCATTCCCCATTGTGGGTGTCCTCCATTTCTGCATAAGGAGGAAGAGCTCTCCCCAGCCCTCAATGCAGGGGACCATAAGGGCATCAGGACACATTTCCCCCTGCTGCAGTAACAGCTTTTGCCCATAGGAAAACTGCTGGAAGTCATTTTTCTCCTGATCTGAAAATGTTTCTGGCTCAGAAGATGAGTTACAAAGTAGAAATAACTACACTTGCAAATAAAACAAACTTCTGCCTTAAAAACACCCTAAGAAATTATATTTAAAGCTGTTACTTAGGCTGCAAAGTAAAACATTAAGCAAGCAGGAAATGCAGGCTTAAACTTTGCCCAGTACTAACTGGCAAACCTCTTTTTTGTAAAGTTTCTTAATCCATGCAAGGAGATTACTCTTATCTCTGTGTCAGAAGGAGAAGATAGTTGTAGTATTTGTGAAGTGATTGGATATTAAGTGGATGTGCCATCCACTATGGACCATGGGGTGGATGGAAGGCACCCCAATGCATCATCCTTCCCCACGCTGGCCTCCGGTAGCCGCAGGCACATGAGTGTCAGCTGGGGCAGGGAGAGACATGGCTGTGGTGGCAGACCAAGGAAAAGACTGCATTGACCTGGGACTGCTCACAAAATCCAGCTTGTCCGGCTGCAGCCGGATGCTGGGGCTCTGCTGACACCTCTTGCTGCCCAGCAGCTCCCATCCCAGGCACTTTGTTCCCTGCCCCACTAGCTGGGCCACCTCACCTGACCCAATGACAGAATAATCCCCCACAAGTTTTATGGGGTAGGAAGGCAGGGAAAGGGGGGTTCATACTAAATTAAGTCTCCGATCGGGTTCACCTCCTGGCCTCCCACTGTCAGAGCAGACATCAGAGGGGTGGGAGCTGCTGCAGCTTTTCAGAGGAGCGCAAAGCAGGGGATAGGTTGGGTTAGCTAAGCTGCACATTGCATGGGGAGGACAAAGCACAACAACCACCAGTTCCCTCAGCAGCCGAACACTGTTCACTCTGTGCACCAGGCAACACAGCTTGTGGAAAGCCAGCACGCCCCCACGCAATTGAAGATGGCACCGTCGCGCACACACAGAGGATCTGAATTCAAATTGCACAAGCACAATCAATTCTGGTGTTTTGTAACTTTCAAGTGTGTGGCTTTATCAACTAAATACTGCTTTTTAAAGGACGCTTTGAGATATAAACTTTTTTTTTAATTTTGCACATTTTATGAGGAATCAAGAGGCATGTCTGTCATATGAAGGGCAATAAAATTCCTTTCACAGCTTATAGAACAAGTTACCCATAAATTTTAAGCTTAAATGGACTCCCAGCAAAAGCCTCTTAACACCTAGAAAATAGGTATGTCAGCTTGGTGTAAATTTTCACAAACAACAGAATACCAGCCTTCAACATGCTTTCCCATAACCATCTGTTGCTAAGCATGTGCCGATTTTGAGTTCTGTAATTGCTGCAAGGTACAGAGAGGAGCAGTAATTCAATCACGAACTGAAAACTTTAATCAAAAAAGGAAGAGAGAGAACGGCAGCAGCTTCTTTTCTAGACTCTACCTATACAGCACAGTGGGTCCATGAAAAATCGCCTGTTTTCCATTACAGCAATTTGAACCATAATCACGGTCGATGGCACGAGACATGGGACCGTGCTTACAGGGGGCCAGCAAGTTTTTCAGTCCAAATAAGTTCCAAACCCATGACTACACAGAATACCTCGTGGGTGGCTGAAATCATTTGGCCTCCAGCCTCAGGACTGTCAGCTTGCACAAGCGAGGTGCGCTCGGCTCCCAGCAGTCGGCTGATCCAGCGGGTCAGCCAGTGCAGGCCCTGCGTCATGCCAGCACCCAGGGAGCTGCCCAGACCTCTGACATACAAATACACCATGCAAATGTGAACTCAGAATCTGCTTTATCAGATACCTGGAGCTGCAGAGAGCAAGTCTGGGTTTTGTTCTGGGGAACAAGACAGTCTAACCTGGCATTTAAAAGTCTTTTCAGAACAAAGAAAATACATAAACAATAATGAAAGTTCCTCTCCATCCACTTCCTTTGGTATAGCTGCTGGATAATGAGGTTTAGCATCAGTTTTGTGCTACACAATTGTTGCCACAAACCTCCTGTTTATGTTTGGTGTTTGTGTATTTGTTTTGTCTCCCTGTGCAGATTTCAGTGCTCTTTGGAAACCCCAAACAAATCTCTGACTGGGCTGCCTCTGAATAAAGCCTTTACTCCCACAGTGTTATGAAAGCAAACACAAGCCCAGGGTCAAGTGCTTCTTTTGTCCCAGTAGTTCTTTCCCACGAGTTCAATCCTGCCATTAGCATTGATTTCCACTCCTTTAATCTGGAAACGCCCATCACAGCTCCTCAAAGCACTTTTTTTGCTGAGATTTCCCCAAATATTAGAAAAGAACCCATGGGCTCCTTACCTTTACCTCCTGTCGCCTGCAGCATCTTCAGATGATCCACTGTCATTTGCAGTATTTCCGCTTTTTCTAGTTTGGCAGATCCCTTTGAGATAAAGAGACTTATATAAATAAAGGCTTACAAGTACTAGAAACTTTAATTTGATATACTTTCCACTGAGCTCAGCCTTACGGTTTTAATTTCCCATACCATTAGGACATTCTCAGCCTAATTCTTTTGTGAGCATCTGCCTCCCAGATCTTGTCTAAGGACTAAGTCTCTTTCCTCTCTAGCAATACAAGCAGCAGCATGATTTTGCTTTACTAAGGCTATAGCTTAGGGTAGCTCTGGCCTTGAAGATAGTATAAAGATGACATCTTAATGAAATGAGAGAAATACATAACTTCCTGAGCTTTGTTTTTAACAACAGACAGAAATGGAGGGCCGTCAGGACAGGTCTGCACGGTTATCGATGAAGACCCTGCTGCAACATACTTTCTTTGTGCTTTTACCAGTAGGTGTCCCTGTGGACACACACACCCAAAAGTATCCCCTCTTTCTTAATCGCTTGTTAATTTTCGACATGTCATTTGGCTGCTGACTATTCTATTCTATTCTCATTCCCGACTGAACAAACAACCCCACAATATTTTAAGTTAGCGAAAGGCCTAGTTTGCTGGGACATGAAGCTAAATACTGTGAAAAAGAGAGTTCAGCTCCTCTGCCAGTAAAAATCTTTTCTTTACTGGGGGTGGCTCACAGAGCTACAATAGGTGCTGGAAAAGTATCAAATACAACTTGAAAGGTAGTATTAATATATTAATCTATAAATAAAACTATTCTGCATGGTAGCATTCCCTTCAATATCTGGAGAACACCCAGACGACTGAGTTCACCACGCAAATGGTATTCCAGTGCAAGAGACTGTCCCTTGGCATCAGCCAGCACCAGGGCTGCACAAGCTGCAGCCACCAGCGGATCACATCCCACAGACAAAATTTTTCTATTATTTATCTATCCTGAGGCCTCACATGTGCAGGTCTGGTAAAGCTTACACCCTTCTCCTCCGCAGCACCGCTTCACCAAGGCTTTCTAATCTCTGTGAAGGACTCTGGAGCGCAGAGCTGTGGTTTGATTTGGGGAAGGAGGGAGGGAGAGAGCAAGGCAGAAGTGAAACTAAACGTCCAACTTGGAAACTCCAGTGAGATGAATGTCAAGGAGCTGCAAAAGGGCTGATGACTTTGCCCTTGGCATATTGCAGAAAAATGGTGGGGCTTTCTGAGCAGAATACAGCGTGCACTCATTTTCACACTGATACATTCTTTCTAATCTGCTTATCGCTTTTGGCGCTTTCTCTTGCAAAGTTTGATGCGTGTGTGAATTTTTGATCAAAATTCCCCATTTTACATGTGACTACATCCTGTAGTTTTCTCAGACTTCATCTTTTCCATAGACACAGTACAAGCTGTCTCAGTAAGAGTGACTAATAGCTAAAAACTGCATGGCGCTGGGTAACTTCCAAAGGCTCTGTAGGACTTGTTTTATAATGTTTGTGGTTTTCAAGAAGTAAACAATAAAATGGGTCAAACAACCGTTGTCTCTTGACCCTGTTCATCTAGCTGAAGATACCTCTGTCACTGTTTTGCCAGAACCCCCACTAAGGCACAGTTATAACTACTAGTTACCAAAAGCATATTGCAGGTGACACAAGTGATGCTCTCACCACGATTACAATACTTCAAATTTTGTTATAACCAGGTTTTGTTCAGACCAGGGACATAACAGGCCTAATATGGTGCAGTACTTGCCACATAGTTACCACTGACATTCAGCACCTCACAATCTTGTTCTCAAATTCTACTTTCTGTTGTTTTATTTTACTATTACAAGGAAGTCAAGTTCTTTATTTTCAATTGGTTCCTTTTTACTGCAATGTAGTGTCAATTGCACATATCCATAGGTCTTCAGATATATCCAACAAAACAGGAATAAAGCTAAATATTGAACCAAAACCCTAAAAAAATAAAAATCAAGGTGTGGAAAAGTAAATAAATAAATTTGAATGGCATAAACAAAATGGTCTTTTTTAAAGGACAAATTGTATCCTGAACTTTTGGCCTGTAATTTCACAACCGAGGAGCTGAATCAAAGCTAACTGGATCCTTACAGCCTTTGCACTGGATACTTTCTCACTGAATGTCTTTGAACATCACTGACCTCATGGGCCTATTCCCCTTCCTAACACGCTGTTTCTACACAGTCACTCTAAAATGTGAGTAATGCAGGTTGCCTGTTCCCTTTTCAGGAAACTGGGTTGATTAGTTTGCAACTGAAATTATAAGGATTTTAAAGTAGGTGCAAAGCGGATTATATGTAAAGGTTTAGACAGAAGATGAACTGACATCCAGGTTTGAGGGAGTTGTGTTGGGTTTGTTTTTTTTGGTTTTTCTTTTAATATCAAATAAAGCACATTTTTAACAAACCACTACTGGAATTCATCGAAAGAACACAGGCAACAAGAACACAGTTACCCTTAAGGGAAAAACAAGCCAAAGAATGGAAATGTTTTTCAGCCTTATAATGAATTATGTTTCTAATAGTTTTGCCACAACAAAGCATTTTATTGAAATACCTGCTTTGTGCCAGATCAGGACACATACAGTATTATTTTAATGACTTTTACAAGAGAACTAACACTGCCAGATGAGATACAGAATTTAAAAAAAGAAAAAAAAAAAAGGGCTTACTTGTTTTTCAAAAGCAGTTGGCACGAGCCGCCTCAGCTCTGATAAACTGTTATTTATACGATCACGGCGCCTTTTCTCTATAATCTATTCCCCCCCCAAAAAAAAAACCGAAACATGTTAACTTTATTAAAAAATGTTGAAAGGCAAAATCAAAGTACACATGCAAATTGTCACATGGGAAAGTAATTAAATGCAACGTACCCCTCTTCTTTTCTTTCTGGCCATAATCTGAGAAGTTGTTGTTGGGGAATTTGATCGAATGACAGAACTATTGCTTTGCCTGTGAAACAATAAAAGTATGTCAGGTGTTGCACAACTAGGCACTACTCTTTGAAGACACCTTAGGTCACTGTGTTAGTTATGCATAGTCCCTCTCCTGCCTTTTTCAGTGCTTCGTAGATGTGCTTTTCACTGCACAGTATTTTTAAAGAGAGAAAGACATTTAATTTTTGACAGCCCCAGCATATATTTTGAATGGACAGAACACCCTGCCAGCAATAAAGTCCCTTTCTGGAGACAGTTCACTATCCTGCTCAGCGGGTTTCGTTTTCATTGCATACAAAGCCCTGCCTACCAAACACAGGCTGAAGAACCGAGCCCAAACCCACGTGAACCACCTCTATATGCTAACAGTGGTGGAAAGCACAGGTACTCGACACCACAACCTCTACCTGACCTGCTAGGTTTTGACAACTTGCCCATTGCTACACGAGTCAGTAGATAGATGCTCAAGTACAACGTCAGTTGCCCATCCGGATCTGCTGCATCGTCCCGCATCAGGAGCAGAATTCAAAATCCGCTTTTAAACCTACACCATCCACGAGCATGAAAAGGCTTTTATTTCATCATGCGTGAGCAAAAAAATCCAATAGCTTTTAATACTGATGTGGACGACACAGGGCTCCAGAGCGTGTGTCCCTAAGTTGGCAAGACCAGCTGTGAAGGCCAGCAGAGTCCCGCGGAGCTCCCAGCCACCCCCCATTTGGCGAACACCACGGCTCACTCTCGGCTTGCTGAAGTTACCATTCAACTACTGTGGCTGCCTGATTACTTTCCACAGCTCATTGCCCACTGGTGCACATTCCCTTAGGTTGTCCGGCCTGCTCAGGAGCTATTTTGGAAAAGATCTGATTGAAAATGGCAAATTAAGCGGAGCTAATGAACTGCAGCCTGATGGCTCCCACGGTATTTGAATGCTCCGGATTATTTGGAGGCTCGGGCAGGTAGAGCACGGGGCAAACTCCTGGTTATCAAGAAGCCTATCAAGAAGCTGCTGGTTGAGCTGGAGGGAGACACTACTGCCCCCCCTTTCGTTCCCCGGCCTGGACGGCCGGGTTTCCCCCGCGCTCTACCCCGTCCCCGCGGAGACGGCGGCTCCGAAGGGACGGTGTGTGTGTCGTCCCACTTACCCCGAGTAATTGTTCTCGCTCCCCACGTCAATAGTCTCGTCCATGTCGCTGTCTGAGGTAGTTTCCTCGCACGGTCGCTTCATCGTGGGCACAGGACGCGGCACAGCTTATAGCCGAGGTGGGGGCAGTGATAAATAAATCCGGGGGGGCACTGGTTCGGCTGGCCACAGCACAGGTCGGCTCCGCACCGCCAGCAGAGCAAACCCTCTCTGAGGCGCTTTCCCACGCCGCGGTACAGCCTCAAGCCC